ACTAACATCTGCCAGGTGTTGGTAGCTTTGTCACTCTCTTGCCAGGGGGAATAGTATGGCAGAAGACTGTCGGGGCTTTAAGAGCAAGTGAATTTGTTTTGGTTCTTCCATTTTGTGGGATGCGTGAGCTCTCCAGTCTTCCTTTTGCCTTTTCTTTTGTTGACTTAGCCAGTTCCCCTTACAATTGTAGGTAAGGAGGGGTGTGTGTGCGTGTGTGTAGGCAAAGTGTCTCCCTGAGGTCCCTTGGTGCCCACTGCTGCCTATCCACAGACCGAACAGAAGACGAGATGTGATAGGCTCACTAATATGAGGGACTTTTCTGTTTCTCACTCTTACCTACTGCTTTTACCCATGTGGCCACTTTGAAGTGCATGGAAATCACTAAAAGAGTTTCCCCTTTCCTTTTCCTTTGCAGAACCCGGCACAGTTTGGAGAATCAGATTCCGACTCTTCTGATGGGGAGTGTTCTGATGCAACTGTCAGGACCAATAAGCCCTGCAGCTCTGCTACTTGGTAATGATGAATTGTTCCCCAGCCCCTCCTGGTATTGGCAGGACTTCACGTCATCCCCCCCTTAATCATACTTTACAGGAAGAGAAGATGCTTCTCCTTTCCACCCCAGAAATGATCTGCAATAACTTGAATCTCTGGAAGATGTCCAAATGAAATTAGTTCTCACCAAGCATTTCAATCAAGAATGGCAGGGATGTATTTTATTGAATAATCTAGCTACTGTAACATTGATATTTATTTTTTTGACATTTTAACACTTTTTACTGTAAAGAGTGGACTGTATCTATATAAAGACAGAACAGTTGTTGCAAAAAAAAGTTCAGAAAGCAAGCACATCAGAGAGAAACCTCCTTGGAAGTCTTACCTAGACAGCACGCATTGGCACAATAGAACTCTATTGCTGCTTTCACAGGGGACCAGGCCTTAGGGCCCTACAGATTTGATAGATAAAGAGAAATGAACCAATCAGTCTAATCAACTGGAGACGCAAAGAGAGACCTTGCTGCAAGGTAACCTATGAACAAACAGCATTCAGTATAACCAGCTGGGTCACTTTTAATCAGAAGGTGGACGTGTTCCTGGAGAAATTTGGTACGAAGGTGCTTATATTCATCCAGGGTCTTCTGAGTCAGTACATTCCCCCTGGGATGCAAGTGTGGGGGTTAATTTATGGGTTTTTTTGTTGTTGTTTGTTTTTTAATCAGCGTTTTGTTGTGACATCCTGCAGACCTACTCCAACCTCAGCCTCCCTTGAGACTTGGGTGTAACAGCACTTCTTAACCCTGTTGTCCTCTTTACTCTGGCAGCACTGATTTCCAGGGGAGCAGAGAACGCTCTCTCAGACACCGAGTGCCCGTGTTTCAGTTTACTTCTCCTCTTTGCCTCCAGGCTTCCTGGCTCACTTTTTTCAATTTAAGAAATTCATCAGATCAGTGTTGGAAAAAACAAGAACTTGCAAACCAAGGAAGGCGCATTCTGCATTAGTCTGGGGTGGAAATCAGGGAACCTTCCAAGGCAACCTCCTACTGACTGCAACACCGTGTGCCCAGCCAGCACCAAGGGAGGGAGCTGTGTATGCATGGCCGAGCCAGAGAGGGAGCGGTATAAAACAGAAAGGAAGACCTGGAATCAGTTCATTGTCAGAGGATGGGGGGTTGTCTTGGTCTTGAGGGAGTGCTACGGGGTGGGGCAGGCAAAGCATCTCGATCACCTGTCCAGCTTCAGTCTGGAGGAGGAACTGTCCCATAGTCCTGGTGGCTGGAAGGCTGAGGCATTGGCAGACCAGAACCCCGTATGTTCCTAAGGAACTCCTTGTGCCTTCCCTTTGCAAACAGACCGCTTTTTAACTGATGTTGCAACAGAACGAAGATGCAAGGCCTGTTTCCCCTGCCTTTAGTAACGTCTCTCCTAGAAGACCTCCGCTCCACCTTCAGAACCCCCAGACAAGGGACCTCCCCTTCCAGGCTAGGATGGTGAGAGCGGTCAGCATCCTACCCCCACGGTTTCCCCTTGTGCAGTGCGCGAGCCTGAGGTGACCAGCCGGAGCTGACTGTAGTCAGGTTCTTCTGTTGCTGTGTTTACATTTTCTGTTGAGCTGTTGATTTGAGCTCCGCTTTGATTAATTTATAGCCTAGCGGCAAAATGAAGGCACCGTTTGTCCATCGACAGAGAGCAGTATTCTATGCGTGAAAATGATCCCGTATTTTTTAAATTTTTGTAGCTGGACTACACGCAGATCTTAAGTTATGACTTTATTTTGTTATTTATTATTGTTTCTGTAGATCAGAAGATTGGCTTTACTACTAGCACAGCTGTTTTCTCTCCGTGTGACGGAGCCACACAAGAGTGAGAGCAGAGCTGGTTCTGGGGGCTGTCAGTAGTCACCTTGTGCCGTGACCTTCAGCAGTGGCTCCCAGAGCACAGTCGTTCTGGGGGCCAAGTGCCAGTCAGGAAGTGCCCAACTTCACGGGCCTTAAGAGACATTCCCTGTTGTCAACACTAAATTTCCTTGCTCATGAGTGACCAGTGGAAGGGGCAGAGAGGAGGGAGTTAACAAGAAGCCAGTTAACAGGCGGAGGAGCCCAGAGTCCTAAAGGGAGAGGCTTCCCAGGGGCCAGGAGTGAGCAGGGTACTCAGTGCCAGGAGCAGACACAGCCAGGCATGGCTTTGCAGTTGAGGTCCCCAGGGCCAAACAGCCAGGGAAAAGAGAAGCAAGATCCACAAGTCATCGCTTGAAGTCTGAAGACAGTAAGTTGGAGTGACCCCTCCCCACCCCCAAGAAGAGAGGTAGCAAGTCTGGTGGGCCAGGGAGAGAGAGCAGTTGTCCGTGACAAGGCACATGATAGGAGTTCTTGGACTCAACAGTAGTGCCCACTAAGATATGCGGAGAAGCACGTGAGTTGAGCTAGCCCTCCCTGCTTTCCCCTGGACACCATGCCAGACTTCTTGTCTTTCCCTTCAGCTCCCACAGTTCACTTCAGTGGCCTGGAGGCAGAGCCAAATTCTCTCCAGTCTTATCCTCTCCCCCACCTCGCAGCAGTCTGCTCCCTCTTCATAGCCAGAGGCATTACCTCGATACCTGCCTAGTGCCCCTTCAGGACTCCTGTGAGCAGGATGCACAGAGCACTGCTTGTGCACAGAGACTCCTCCAACCTGCTCAGAGCCTGTGTAGGACTGCAACAGCTCAGGTGAGGTGAGGGCTGATGTGAGCAGCCCTGCTGTGCACCTAGGACTGTTACCATCCTAACAGGCTCAGTGTGAGCAGGGCTGGAACCAGAGCTTCAACCTATGGCACATGCACTTTCCCCTGGCCAGGCTGATCTAGTATCCTCTGCTCATGATGAGCTCCAAGAGGCAGGCTTCACTGCACTGGAGTCCCTGGCCCCATCCCACGTGCCGTCCCTTTTGGCAGGGCTCTTCCAAGCATTCCAGGCTGCTCCAGAAACCCAGCCCAAGAAATGGTCTTCCTCTCACCAGGGCTTATGCCAAGCCATGAGCAGTTGTGGATGGGAATGAGTTTAAGGGTCCTGCCATACATTCAAATTCAAGCTAGATAGAAACTAGCTATAGAGTTGTTACATGTTTTCAGGTACTAACTTTGTAGCTGGACAGCAATTTTTATGGCATGATAATGACTTGGCGTATGTGGCCGGTCTAAATTTATTGTGTGATTCACTAGTTAATTGTGTAATGTGTAACATATAGAAGGGGCCTGAGATTCATGACATTGTTGGGTGAATCTCAGGAGCTGCATCCTCTTGCAGTGGGGATTGCCTTCGCTCTCCAACAGTGCTTGCTCATGCCCCAGTACATCAGGTGGGCAACAATCACTCTGCTGAGCACAAGCAAGCTGTTAGCTAGTTTTAAAGATTTACATCCTGCACGATTGATAGCTTTCTCTTGCTCCACGTCCTATCTTGGACCTACTAGTCAGCCTGAACAACAGCCCCTGCCCATTAGAGGAAGAGAAGACTGAGAAACAGCTGGTTGGGTGCAGCAGGCGAGGTGTGCTCACTGGCGGAGCCAGGCTGCCTTTGGCTGGTGGTTGTGCCATGCAGGCGCAGCAGTGCTGGCCTGACTGAAATCATATCCCCTTGTCACTGCTGATTGCAAGGTGCCTCTGTTGGTGTCCGGCACCATGGTGCTGCTTCCATGCTGTTGGAATTCTTTCCTGGTGAGCAGCACAAGGGCATGCAGCTGTATGGTACAAGTCATAGTGCTGCAGCCACTCCTGCTGCTTGGGAAAGCCAGATCCTGCGGTTGGGCACTCTGGCCTCAGAAGCAAAATGAATCCAGCGCCTGTAGCAGTGTAGAAGCCATGCTAGGGAAGGACAGACCAAGCTCTTGTCTGTGTTGACCTCATAGCAGTAGGTCTATGCAGAGTGCAAGGGAAGTGTCCTCTTGCAAAGAGCAGACTTAACTAAGAGGCTACAGCTCTCCCAGAGGAAATCCTTGCCATCTCATAGATGACAAATAGGGGCTGAGTTGTGCTGCCAGTGGCAGGGAAGTGTCTGCAAACTCATGGGCATGCCCTGAGGTATGCAGGGGTGTCTGAGAGCTGATAATCAGCATGGCCTGTCACAAGAGCAGTGTTTGGGTGAGGGCACTGCCAAAGCCTGGCAGAGTCTCTGAGCTGAATGGGGCTGATCTGGTAAGCACAGGTCCCTGGAGAGCATTCAGGAAGGCAGCAGCAGGCTGGTCAGCGTCCCACACCCGATTTATTTTTTCTCCGCCCACTACATAAAACCTCATTCCCTGGGGAAAAGGCAAGTGTGCCTGTGTCCTGATCTGCCCTGATCTGACCTGACTTGCATGGCTGCTGACAGCTCCTCAACACCAGCCTGGCTTCACTCTCAGAGGATGAATGTTGTTCTCCTCACTGTCAGTGTTAAAAGTGACCATTTCATCTCAGTAGCTCTCATTTCTCTCTCTCTTCTCCCTGCTCTGTGGCTTCCTGAAACAACTTGATTTTTTTGTATTGAACCGTGTACAGTGATGGGAACAAGAATGACTATCAAAGCAAACAATGCATGGAATAAAAAGCCAGTGTACTTCCACTGTCCCAGCCTTGGCTTGTCATCTGGGTGCTGAGGGTGTTGGGCTAGGATGATTCATGCTGGAAATCACTTTTTAAAGAGTAGCGAACAGTTAATGCTGAACCCCGTTTTACATTACCGGTCTGCTTCCAGCTGCTCATTTGCTCCCTGGAGTCTCCCAAGTATCCAGGATGAAAATGGAGAGTGGCTTGGCTGCACAGGCATTCTTCTGGTGTAGATGCGGGCCCTGAGTGTTGGGCTTGGGGTGAGTCTTCAAAGCAGCAGGGCAGCTGAGCAGTGGTCACTGGGTACACATGCACTTTGCTGCATCCCTTCCCTCTCAAGTTCTTTTCTTGCCCCCCCGCACGCCAACTCTCTTCTTTTGTCCTTCAAAGCTCTTTCCCCTCTAGTCCTTAGTAGTCTGCAGATGCCACTAAACCCCAGAAACCAGTTACAGAACAGTCAGAGGCATGGGACATGAGTGCTGGCAAAGACAGGAGACTCCAGCCTCTCACCGGAGGATACAGCTAGGATCTGGCAGACAGGGCAAGGCTGGCTTGATCCGTTTCTGTGGCACAGGCCAGGGGGCTGCCACAGAGCAGACAGCCCAGCACAGCACAGCTTGGTGGGTACAAAGTCTTGGCTCCTCAGTGTAGCAGGGGTCCTGTGCTCAGATGCAAATCCTGTTGCTACCCAAGCAAGCACCTGTTTTGCACCAGTTTGTTGGGCAGGTCAGCAGCACCTGGGGAAAAGGAGCCTGTGGTCCAGTCTGAGGCTGCTCCTCACAGGCAAACTGCACTTCTGTGCTCTCCTTGCAGGGCAGGTTGAAGTGCACCAAGGACACCAGGCACATCCATGATCACCTGGACTTCCTGCTCTGGCTCACTCCCTCTGTGCTGATTGTTTCTCCACCAAGGACACTAGGCAGCTTAGGGCACTGGGTGCCTCACCTCTGCACTCTGCCCCACAGGCACCAAAGTTACATGGCTGGCAGCTGCTTCCTCATCAACAAACAGCATGTCTTTGGTCTCAGGCCAGGGCTTTACAGTCAGGCTGACCCCTACCACCCTGGCTCCCAGCCTCTCTCAAAGCACACATGCCTTCATGAGGCAGAGGGGTGGATAGGGCCTGTGTGGCTAAGGCCTGTCATAGGGCAAGGTGATCTGCCTCAAGGCCAGTTGCACAAGCACCAAATTCACGCAGAGAAAATTTCACAACCATTTATTAGGAAAACCATCCACTGCCATGTAAACACACAGGACTGGTTGGCAAGGCACTTGGTTCGAGACCATTGAGGATGGGCAATCCCTGCTGGGTCGAGTCAGGCATGCACTGCGTTCCCATGAGCCTCATCTCTTGGGGGTAGCAGCCATTTCAGAAAACTCCTCTCTCCAGATCTTGTGAAAGCTCAAGGCCCAGAACACAGACAAGGAGGCAAGGAAGTGGATACTTTGCCCTGGCACAACGCAATGTGGCCACGGAGTTACCATTTCCACAGTGACACGACTTAGCACAAGCAAGGCTGGCACCAATGCCCTGGAGAGACTGCTCCTGCTGCATGCAAGGGGGTTTACAAACAAGCAGGCACAACACGCGCTACCTGTGACTGTGATGTGACCAGGGGCTGCCTCTTCTCAGGAATTATAACTGAGGGGGGTCAGGCATCCTGGCAACAGGACACAGAGCCCCCACTATCAATGAGGAAAGCACAGCTGTCCTGGAGCTCCATGTCCCTTCTCTAATGCAGGCAGTATCATCCTGGGATGGCACAGCATCTGCACCTTGTGTGGAGACACCAGTTGTTGGCCATCCCTAGAGGCAGATCCTAGGTGATGGTGGAACCAGAAGCCACCCCAGAGTGGGCAGTGTCCCTGTTGGCTGGGAAGTGCTGAAACTGCCTGCATCACTGAGGTGGGAAATGCAGCCAATAGAGAGCTGCAGAGCCACATTGGCCTTAGCAATCTTAAGAGTGCCTGGCTGAGGTAGGGCCAGGGGCAGCATGAGTCAGAAAAGGAACACAGCTGGGCAAGCTGTGAAAGGCACTGTTCTCCTCCTGAGGTCAGTGCTGCAGCAGTCAAGACCTTGACTAACTGCCTACACTTTGCAAGGGAAAGCAAAGCCCTTCTTGCCAGCCTCAATACCACCCTCACCTCTGCCTGGGGCAATTACACCAGCAGAGCTACTGCCCCTTCAGCACTTAAGCCAGCACCATCAGCTCAGTGCTGGAAAGAGACCAAGGAAAGGGCACACAACACCAGGCAGCTTTGTGAAAAGCCCTGGTGGGAGAGCTGACTAGGGTGCCTGCCACTGCCCTGCACATGTTGAGCTCCCCAGCCAGCACAGCAGAGCCACTAGCAACAGGAAGGTACCTGCGCACGAATGCCAAGCAGCCAGCAGTGACCACTAGCACTCAAATCAGGCATGCTAGTTAGCATTTTGGGGGCCAGTGCAGCACTCAGCAGCAGAGCACAGCCATCTCAATCCCCGTGGCAGTTCCCCACTCCCTGTACATTCACCTACATACAAGCACCATTTAAAAACAAGACCATTTTGTCTCCTTTGAGATTTAAAAGGAGATCTTTAAAAACTGCTGGTTGTCCTCCACCCATGCTGCCAGCTGGAGAGGCTGTGCCAACAGCAGGTTAAAATGCCGACAGCTGGGGCCAAGGATTGCACCTGCCCTGCAGATATGCCATGAGATGCTCCCAGAGCTGCCAGCTGCAGCCTATCACAAGCTCTTTCTGCCATTGAGCAGGTGGATGCTCTGTCCCTTGCTGTCCAACATGAGGTGTCCCTGGCTGTACTTCTTAATGAGGGTACCAGGGATCAGCGCCACCACAGCAATAGCCAGCAGCTTCAGCAGCGTGTCCCATGAGAAGATGGCATCCAGAGAGGTGACCTGGGAGAGGATGGAGCCAGTCTGCACGCAGATGAAGTTATAGGGCACGAGACCTGGGAGATTGTGGGGAGAGAAAAAGCTTGAGATTAGTCAGCTGGTCCCAGCCCCTTCATGCCTCCCTATGCTGTGGCAGCTCAAATGCTCCTGGACCTGTGCCTGCCAGTGTCTTACACTACATGCATTGGCTAAGGGTGCAGCGACCCCAAGGCCCTGCCTGAGCCAAGAGCTTCCCCACAGAACACCTATGTTGCTCTGGGCCCCTTGTGGCTCAACAGAGCTAGCACTGAGCTAGCTACCCAAGCAAATTCCTGCCTGGAGGCAATTCCCATCTCTTTACCCCTGTTCCTCAGAGGAGGCATCCCTAAGGGCAAGTCTTTGTATAAAGGCAGGGCCCAGTCCAACATCTGTCCCAGGCTGAGTATCCTTGAAAATGCTCTGCTCCCTGCACCCGGCACAGCCAGGAGGCCCCACTCCACGGGTGATGCACATTAGACCTGCTGCCTGGAGGGGGAGATGTAAGCAGAAGGGGGTGTGGCCCAGCAAACACTTGCAGGCAGGAGGAAGGCATTGCCTATTGTGGGGCAGGGAAGTCCTCAGTGGATCCAGATCTTAGGTACCAAGTCTTACCAAAGCCCCACATGAGGCCTGAGCCCAGACATGCAGGCTCTAACCTGCTGCTGGATCCTCATAAACCCATAAGCACCCCGCCTTGTTCCCATGAAGTTTCCCAACTGAGTCCAGGCATGCTAAAAAACAGCTCAGTTCTGACATGGCTGAGCAGCCAGGTACCTAAGCCCTATCAGGACCCACCTCCCACAGGGGCTCCTGTCTCTGGCACCTGGAAGCCTAGCAGGCCCCTCAGAGTACATAGCATACTGGGCTCTGCACAAAACCTGGGTGCTCTAGCTGCTAGGCTGGAGCCATGCCGAATCTCTCTCTCTGCCACAAGAGCCGTTTATCCCACACAATGCTAAATAACTTCCGCAGGTTGAGGCCAAGAGCTATCAGCACCTGTTCCCAAGCCAGGTGTTAACTCAGGAGCAACTGCTGCTGCTTGGAGCAGGGAAGAGGCAAGTGCAAGTGTCATCAGGCAGAGGGAGCTGAACCAGATTCCCCACATGCTCTAACCACCAACGCTCTTC